TTTTAACCTAATCGCTCTTTTGATTTTGGAAATATATATATATTTTTATCAATATACTGCTTCTTTTACACATCCATTTCCAACCTAACCCAAACGGACTAGGGAAAAAAATAATTAGGACTCATGAAAAAATTGATAATAACACGCAAGAAAAAAATCCCTTCCCATACCCGTATTAGGCATTAATCTATTTTTAACATTTAATTAGATCGGGTAATTTTTCAAATTACGAATGGAAGCTCGTTTCTTTTATTTTTCCTGGAATCAGGAAAAATGGGTTTTTTATCCATCCATTTATATTTATTCACTCGACCCAAATTGGAATTCCTTTTTTTTGTCGACACTGAAAACAGGGTTGTACCGATCAGGAAAGCAAAAAAAATTATCTGAATTCTCCCTTGATACGACATGCTATTTTTTCCATTTATTCCTTTCAGGATCAGTCGTGGTCTTACAAACTCTACCGCAGATCTGGACGAATCCTTTTCTTCATACAAATGTGTAAAAGATGCTAGTCGCACTTAAAAGTCGAGTACTCTACCGTTGAGTTAGCAACCCCCAAAAACAAAAAAAAGAAAGTACTGCAAATATGTAGATACAACCAGAATAAAGAAAAAAAAAAAAAAAATCCAGTCATGTGTGCGTCCGGGATAAATGGATCTATTTCTCTATGAGAGAATTATATTTGGTCGATACACTGTTGTCAATATGATTATTAATTTTTAATATAGCGAAAAGAATATAAAAAAGAAATAAAAAAGATTAACCCCTTGGTTTGTTAGTTCATACAATGAATGAAAACTAAGCCAGGTAGGATAATCTCAGATATTTTTATACTTTTTTAAACCCATTTTGTATAGCCTTTAAATTTTTTATGAATACTGAATAAATTATTCATATAATAATATTAATTTTAATAATATTAATTTTATGAATATACATACATATTATTTTCTATACACTAAAATTTTGTATTTATACAAAAATTAGCATCCAAATTTTTTTTCATAAATTTGTTTATGATTATAAAACATAGTAGTTGTTAGCAGGGTATTTTTTAGTATTCTTACCTTAGGAAGAATACTAAAAATAAATAAAAATAAATATGATGGAAACGAAAGAGGAGGAAAGAAAAGAGTAGATAAAATTTTATACCAAGCTATATATGAGTCTTTCACATCCTCTTTTTTATATTTCATTAATTCAATTTCGTTTTATTAAGACTTAATTCCGTAAAAATCCCGGCCTTCTTTGAAATATCATGAACTGTTCTTGTTGGTTGAGCGCTTTTTTTAAGGAAATCGAGAATAGCAGGAAGATTTAAATAAGTTTGATTAGTTATTGGATCATAAAAACCCACTTTCCGAAGATCTTTTCCTTCTCTTCGGGATCGAACATCAATTGCAACAATTCGATAAACGGCTCATTGGGATAGATGTATATGAATAATACCCCCCTCTAGAAACGTATAAGAGGCTTTGGCCTCGTACGGCTCGAGAAAAAAATTCAATGAGTAGAAGTGAACTCTCTATATAAAATTAAAATATTAAATAGATTAATAAAAAAATTAAACCAATTAGACAGTATTGAAACCCTAAATATTTTTTTTTCATAAAAAGCATTCTTAACATTCGTACTCTCATAACTCAAGTTAAATAACTCTCAAATATCTCAACAGAGAATCCTTAAGTACTCTTTTTATTTTTTATTGAGTAGTCTCTAACCCTTTTTTGTTTGTCTCATTTTTTAGAATAAATGTTTATTCTTCATTCTGATCTAGTTGTTCAAACAATTGAAACTGGATTTCCTTGTTTCAGGATTTTTTATCCTTACTTTGAATCTTTGGGTTTAGACATGACTTCGGTGATCTTGAATCGTTTTATTAAAAAAGGGCAACAACAAGCCCCTTATTTTGTTTATGATTTCTTTTATTTCTATCAAAGAATCATACAAACGCTTGATTCACGCATAATAGACTTTTGATTAAAATAATTTTACAATTTTAATAAAATTTCCTTTTATATTGTAAAATTACTTGAAAAGGGCTTTTTTCAATATAAAAATAAAAAGACTTACGAAGTAGTTCCAACTTATTGATTCGCACTAACCCTGGATCCTTACTCCTGTGAAAGGAATAAAAACTTTCTATTCTCCTCGAGCTTCATCCTGTACTCTTTTTTATATTCAAAAAAAGTGTAGGACTCTAGTAAAATAGAATACAAAATGTCGAGCCAAGAGCACCTATATTCCTATATAAAAAGTGGCGGATAAAAAAATCCACAGCAGATCATGTCTTTCAATTCAAATCGCACGTTGCTTTCTACAACATCGTTTTAAACGAAGTTTAACCATAACATTCCTCTAGTTTGTGTAATTGATTCAATTATGGAATCATGAATAGTCATAGTTCAGTCAGTATATCGTAATCTATACTTTTTCTTTCTCTATGAATGGAATAGTGAATTTACGCGTAAAGGGTTCAGTCAGAATTAAAATGAATCCCATATTAGATTGTATATATATATATATACAATAAAAATTTGAATATAACTCCATATTTATGTATATAAATATATATACCTTTTTTTATTAAAACTCTTATAATCCGCGGTTCTACCTTACTTAACTTACCTGCATCACAAAAAAAAAAATAGATGCTTTTTGAATTCGGTTGAAATTATGAAAAATAAATTGATTCTTCTTTTAATTTAAATATTTTATTTTACAAATATTGGGTTTTTAAACAGAAAGAGAAAGATGGTGTACAAAGTCAATAGAAGATTGATTTCATAATGACTTTACTCTGGGACGGAAGGATTCGAACCTCCGAATAGCGGGACCAAAACCCGTTGCCTTACCGCTTGGCTACGCCCCATTTCGATTTTTATTCAAGACTATTAAAAGAGTAATATTGCTACTGGTTGTTCGTCAATTCAATTTAAGACAAAATTAAATATAGATTACATTGGTGCTAGGTTTTGACACGTCTAGATAGCAAATCAAACTGACTTTATTGATCATTACATAGAATTCAATTAAGATATTGTATGAAAATATTATTTCTTTAATTCTCATAAGAGAATAAAAGGATTTTTGATTGAGTAAATTCAAAAAAGTCTTTTTAGACTATCTTTATTTATTTTTTCCTTATATAAAAAATAGATTAATAACTCAATCAAAATAAAATTATCCACAAGAACACCAATTTTTGTTATGCTTAATATATTTAATTTGATCTGTATTTGTTTTAATTCTGCCCTTTTTTCAAGCACTTTTTTAGTCGCCAAATTGCCAGAGGCCTACGCCTTTTTGAATCCAATCGTAGATGTTATGCCCATAATACCGCTTTTCTTTCTTCTCTTAGCCTTTGTTTGGCAAGCAGCTGTAAGTTTTCGATGAAATTCTTAATACTGTCTTAGAAAAATTCATGATTTTTATTCTTCCACCAATTCAAAAGATCAAAAAAATCTTGACGTAGGAACGAACTATCAATTCAAACATTTTTTTTTTTAAGAATCTAATTAGATTCGAGTTCACCAAAACAAATATCTAAATGTTGGTATGCAAATCTGTTTGAATATGAAAGACTCTACTATTATCTTATTACAAATGATTTGCTGAAACTTTTTTTTTTATTTTTCTAGAAAAAAATAAACCACTGGATTTATTGGTATCAAAATTAGCTATTTGGTATAAAAATAGAGAATCTATTCTCTTTTTTTTTTGAAAAAAAAAGTAAGATCTTGGAGATTGTGTAATGCTTACTCTCAAACTTTTTGTATACACTGTAGTTATATTCTTTGTTTCTCTCTTCATATTTGGATTCCTATCTAATGATCCAGGACGTAATCCGGGACGTGAAGAATAAAAAAGAAAGGTTTTTTATTACTTTATTTAATTAGTGGAAATGATCAAATTTTATTAGGATTTTACATCATCAAAAGTAGAAAGGGAAAGAGAGGGATTCGAACCCTCGGTACGATTAACTTGTACAATGGATTAGCAATCCAACGCTTTAGTCCACTCAGCCATCTCTCCTAATCGAAAAGTGATACTTAGTTAGGTTCCGTTAGACAAAAAAAGACTTAAAAACCTTCTACACTTTATTTTTAATTCTTAAAAAGCTATCTTTTTTTGTTTTTGTATAAATTATTCTGTATTATTATTATTATATATATATATATTTTTTTTCATTTTCTATATTTTATTATATATATATAAATTATATATATATATATATTTTATTATATAAATAATATATCATCTATTTATATATATAATTAATATATATAGTAATATATATAACTTTATATAAGTTTTTTATAGAACTTTCTCAATAATTTTATATTACATAAAAAATGTAGATAAAGATTAGATAAAGAAAAGGCTCGAACTCGAAAGAGAAATAAATAAAACCACAATAATAGAAATAGAAAATACTTTTTTGATTTTATCTCGTCCAAACACAAGTAAAAGACCTTTTTTATTTTAATAGCCTGGCCTGGTAAGTCTCCAGCCAGGCTTTTTTTTGTTAAAGTAAAAAAAAAAGAATCCGCTTTGACTAATTTTATTAAGTCTACGCTAGAATTTTAGAATTTTTTTCAGATTTTTTATTACACTCCCGATTACTTTGTTCGACAAAAGTTCAATTTATATGCAATAATTGCATTGTAGCGGGTATAGTTTAGTGGTAAAAGTGTGATTCGTTCCTTTAACCCCTTTAATAGTTAAAGGGTCTCTCGGTTTGATTAATCTTCTGATAAAAAACTTTATTTCTTAAAAGGATTGAATCTTTTACCTTTCAATGAAAGATTCAAAGAAAATTATAGATTATCGTAATTTGTATCCAAAGACTCCAATCAATTGTAAATTTGGATTATGAAATTCTGAAACATAATTTTTGAATTGTATGACTATTTACAATTCAATAAGTATAACAAGAGGATCCATGGATAAAGCTAGAAAAGTCTCTTTCTAATCGTAACTAAATCTTCAGTTCTATTTATTGCTTGGTATAGAAAAAATTGAAGCAAAATAGCTATTAAACGAGAACTTTGGTTTACTAAAAACATCGACATATTATATTGTTTTAGCTCGGTGGAAACAAAATACTTTTCCTAAGGATTCCGTTAAATAGAAATAAAGAACGAAGTAACTAGAAAGATTGTTCGAATTCTCCTTTTCTATCTTCTAGAAGGATCATCTAGAAAGCAAAAATTTCTGTGAAAGCATCCAGACGGAAAAAAAGCTAACATAGATGTTATGGGTCGAATTTTGATTTCGTTCCCGTCTTGTTTTATTTGGGAATTTCTCCATCCATCATAAAGGAGCCGAATGAAACCAAAGTTTCATGTTCGGTTTTGAATTAGAGACGTTAAAAATATAAAAATGATCCATCAGCGTCGACTAAAACCCTTAGCCTTCCAAGCTAACGATGCGGGTTCGATTCCCGCTACCCGCTCTAAATTATAAATTTCCCCTTTTAATATAGAAAATTTTCTCTATTATAATTATCTAATAGCAATTGCGTATTGAATTCATTTCAATACGCAATTGCTATTAGATTTCGCACATTTTTTTTTAACAATTGTAAAGTTAAAAAAGCGAAAAGCGTCCATTGTCTAATGGATAGGACATAGGTCTTCTAAACCTTTGGTATAGGTTCAAATCCTATTGGACGCAATATCAATATAGATATATCTATATTGATATTTATATATTATTTTAATTTCTATATATTATCATTTCTATATATTATATAGAATATTATTTCTATATATTATCATTTCTATATATTATATAGAATATTATTTCTATATATTATAATTTCTATATATTATATAGAATATTATATAGAATATATTTCTTTATATTTATAAAAAAGATAAGAAAGAAATAGAATAAGAAATTCTTAATGCTTTAAGATTTAATATTAAACAGATATTAGTTATATACTTTTTTATATTATATATATACTTAACTTAATATACTTATATTTTTCTATTTATAGAATTTCTTAAAAATTGAATTAAAGAATAAAATTGACTTAAAGAATAAAAAATAAGAAAAGAATCAAAACTAAGAATGATCCATTTATTTTTTTTATACTTTCTCCTGAAGTATAAAACGTTCTAGTTGCTCTTGAATACCTTCTTTCAAAAAGCTTTCTGCTTCAGCGGTTAATGTCTTGGTAGAGGATATTATTTCTTGGAACTGCGGTTTATTCGTTTTTAAATAAGTGCGTAACTGAACGAGAAATTTTTTTACTTGTCCAATTTCTAATCCATCCAGATAACCATTTTTCCGGTATAAATAGTCATTACCTGTTCTTCGACTGTGAGAGGGGCTGATTGGGATTGTTTCAGTAACTCACGCAATCGTTGACCTCGTGCCAATTGATTCTGAGTAGCGTTATCGAGATCAGAAGAAAAATGGGCAAAGGCTTCTAATTCAGCGAATTGAGCTAATTCCAATTTTAATTTTCCAGCTACCTGTTTCATAGCTTTAATTTGAGCGGCGGATCCTACTCTCGAGACAGAAATCCCTACATTAATAGCAGGTCTGATTCCAGCATTAAAAAGATCGGCGGATAAGAATATTTGTCCATCTGTAATGGAAATTACATTAGTAGGAATATAAGCTGAAACATCTCCTGACTGGGTCTCGACGATTGGTAAGGCAGTCATACTTCCTTCACCTAATTGAGAGCTTAATTTAGCGGCTCTTTCTAAAAGACGTGAATGTAAATAAAAAACATCTCCCAGATAAGCTTCACGACCCGGCGGTCTTCGTAATAGAAGAGACATTTGTCGATAAGCTTGTGCTTGTTTGGAAAGATCATCATAAAATGATTAAAGTGTGTTGTTCACGGTACATAAAATATTCAGCCAAGGCTGCTCCTGTATAAGGAGCGAGATATTGTAACGTAGCTGGGGAATCGGCGGCTTCAGCTACCACAATAGTGTATTCCATTGCCCCTCGTTCCTGTAAACTAGTCACTACCTGAGCCACGGAAGAAGCTTTTTGACCAATAGCCACATAAACACATATTACATTTTGACCTTGTTGATTGAGAATTGTATCTGTGGCTACTGCTGTTTTACCAGTCTGTCTGTCACCAATAATTAATTCTCGCTGTCCGCGTCCTATAGGGATCATGGAATCAATAGCAATAAGTCCTGTTTGAAGAGGCTCATATACAGAACGTCTCGAAATAATACCTGGGGCAGGAGACTCAATTAACCGAGATTCAGAAGCTGAAATCTTACCTCGACCATCAATAGGGTTAGCCAAGGCATTTATAACACGCCCCAAATAAGCCTCACTCACCGGTATCTGAGCAATTTTTCCCGTAGCTTTGACTGAACTTCCTTCTTGGATCATCAAACCGTCACCCATTAATACAACACCAACATTATTTGATTCTAAATTAAGGGCAATACCTATAGTACTCTCTTCAAATTCTACTAATTCACCTGCCATTACTTCATCAAGACCATAAATACGAGCGATGCCATCGCCCACTTGAAGTACGGTACCGGTATTTACAATCGTTACTTCTCTATTATATTGCTCAATACGTTCACGGATAATATTACTAATTTTGTCGGCTCTAATGGTTACCATGAGTATTGTCCTAATTCTTTTTTGGAAGAAAAAAAAATAATGCCTATCATAATCGTAAGGAAAGGACTAATCCGTTATTTCTTTCATCGTACCAAACATACCAATATTTGCATTAATAGTACGTAAATGTAACTCATTACTCAAACAACTATTTAGGGTTTCTATAGCTCCTTGTAAAGCTTGTTGGAAAACCCGTTCGCGGACTTGATTAATTGTTCTTTGTTGCTCAAAAAGAATGGTTTCGTTTTTGTAATTTTCTAATTGTTTCAAAGTCCTATAAGTTGAATTAATCAAATTTAATTTTTCTCGTTCGATTTCAGAGTATCCATTCGCGCGAAACTGATCCGCCTCCGTTTCTACTTTACGCAAGCGAGCTCGGGCGTTTTCTAATTGTTGAATAGCTCCTTCACGTAGTTCTTCTGAATTTCTAATAGTACTTAATATTCTCTGCTTTCGGTTATCTAATAAATCATTTAATGAAAGTAGATTATCTTTCCATTCAGTAAAAAAAAGTTCTATGATCCCTTCCCGAACCAAACATGAATCTTTCGATTCATTTGGCTCTCATGCTCACTTATCCCAATCATTTATCAATTATTTATGAGACTTTCATTCCCATATTTTTCATGTAATGAGCCTATCCTCTCCCGATTTTTTTGTATTCAATTCATATTTAATATATATATTTCTATCGAAAAAGATCACCAATCCAAGAAAAAATATTCAGAGGATTCTTCTGACCAATAAAAAATCAATAATTGTCAGCAAAGTTGTTTATTTTTTTCTTGAAATCCAAAGAATTCTTATTACTTTATACGTAGGTTATCAATTCTGCATTATATAAAAAGTCTCAAAAAGTTTTATCGACATGAGTGTTTTATATCGAAAAAAGTATAACTATTCTTTTTGAAAATCTTATTCATTTTTTAATTAGACTCCATATAGTAGAAAGAGTACCATGTTGCATCTGAACTTCAAACGGTTTAGCTTTAACCATGTTAATTAATGGTCCCAAATTTTTGGTTGGTAGAGAATCAAAGTAAAGTAGACTTACCAAATAATAATGAAATGCTATGTTTCTAAAATATGATTTTTTTTATTTAATTTTTTATTCAGAAGTAATTCGCGGGATTAGGCACTCTTTCCTAGTTATAGTGCCACTGGGTGAATCCAGCCTATTCTTGAAATGAACAACTCACACACACTCTCTTTCCAAAAAAGACCAATACACCGAAGACTACACTTAGATTTATTGGATTAGTTGCTAAAATATCGGTATTAAACCCAAAACTCCCGGCGGATGGCCAGTGACCCAAATAAACGAAAGAATCGGTTAAATTTTTCATATAATCTCCTCTTCTAGCTAAACTATAAAAAAAACTCTGTATCTTTTTTTATTCTTTTTATTTTCAATAAAAAGAAAATTCGATTTAATAATTTATAATTAAATTTACCTATTTGGATATTTGTAAACAGAATAAAAAACCTATTCTATTTACAAATGTATTTTCCAAAATTTTTCATTTTCAATAATAATAATGAGACTTATTAGAATTAAGCTATAATTTGAGACCAGGTTTTATGTCAATTTAAAAAAACCTAAATCTGCTTTTTTCGCAACACCCCTTAAAAAAAGTTTACATTAAACTAAAAGAATAAGGGGAAGGAAGAAAGCAAATCGATGTGCTAATTCCCCATCCTCAAATTAGTCCTTCCCAAGGGTTTTTGTCTCAATGAATAATTGTAGGAGTTAAATCTTGATAGAATTAAAAAAACTATGAAAAAAAAATTATGAATTTTCTGATTTCTAGGATTAAACAAAAGGATTCGCAAATAAAAGCGCTAATGCTACAACCAGGCCATAAATTGTTAAAGCTTCCATAAAAGCCAAACTAAGCAATAAAGTACCTTGTATTTTTCCTTCTGCCTCAGGTTGTCTCGCGATACCTTCGACAGCTTGACCCGCAGCTGTACCTTGACCAACTCCAAGTCCAATAGAAGCAAGCCCAACAGCCAACCCATCAGCAATAACCGAAGCAGCAGAAACCAGTGGATTCATGATAAGTTCCTCACACCAAAATAAAGAAATAGTTAATGATACAATCATCCAATGACTTAGGACTTAATTATAATTAAGTCATGGCTAAGATTAATATAGCCAAAATAACCAAAAACTTTAATTGAAATAATATAATTATATTATTGAATCATAAGAATTACTTGGATATTAGTTCCTATCCACGGGATTTTGAAAAATTCATAATATATATACGACTTTTTTTCAGCCAATTCACAGATAAAAAGGAAGAACTTCTAATCGAATCCTTATCTAAATCGAAATTCATAAAAGTAGTGGGCCAGATTATAGAGATCTTTAACTCATATATACCTAGTCAATATCAAATATCACATATACAAGTATTTCTTACATAACGTAAACCAACTATTCTACAATTGGGCTAACGAATATTTGAAAAAAAAAAATAGTTAATGATGACCCTCCATAGATTCACCTATATAAGCTGCAGCTAAAGTGGCAAAAATGAGAGCTTGAATTCCGCTTGTAAATAATCCAAGGAACATGACAGGTATAGGAACCACTAAAGGTACTAAAGAAACAAGAACAACAACTACTAATTCATCGGCTAATATATTTCCGAAAAGTCGAAAACTAAGCGATAAGGGTTTTGTAAAATCTTCTAAGATGTTAATGGGTAAAAGAATTGGAGTTGGTTGAATGTATTTACTGAAATACGCTAATCCTTTTTTGCTAATACCCGCATAAAAATATGCTACTGATGTGAGTAAAGCTAAAGCAACCGTCGTATTTATATCATTTGTTGGTGCGGCTAACTCCCCTTGAGGTAATTGGATAATTTTTCACGGTAAAAGGGCTCCTGACCAGTTAGAAACAAAAATAAATAAAAACAGGGTTCCAATAAAGGGAACCCATGGACCATACTCTTCTCCAATCTGAGTTTGACTCACGTCTCGAATGAATTCAAGGACAAATTCAAAGAAATTTTGGCCGCCAGTTGGAATGGTTTGTGGATTGCGACCCGCTAAAGCTGCGGAACCTAATAAAAAAGCAATTACAACCCAAGAAGTAATAAGGACTTGCGCATGGACTTGGAACCCCCTATTTGCCAATAGAAATGTTGGCCTACTTCTACACCAGATATCTCATATAACCCTTCTTTTATTAGTGTGTTGATGGAACATGATAAAACATTCATATTGCCCTCTGACAGAAATAAGAACTTTAAATTATTTTGATTCAAGATCCCTCTTTTTTTTTTACTTATTTACTTTAATTTTATATTTTAGAATTTAGTTTTGGATACCAACTAAACTAATCACATAATATCCCCAGTTTTTTATCTCTTTTTCTTTTGTACGATTAAGGAGTAGTAACCGATTTTATAAATCGAAATACAGAAAGCCCCCCCTCCCATAAAATTTTTTTTTTTATTTATTTATCTTATTATTAATCAAGAATTTTGTATATAGCTAGAACGAAGAGATCCGATTCGCGCGGATTGAAGTTGAGCCAAATTTTGAAGATACAGTATCACTGAGGCGGTTCTCACTCAGTGAACCCTGGACTTTGAAGGTTTCATTGAATTATCGTGGTTCTCGTATGAATCTAAGGTTTCAATTGATTAGTTAAGTAGGGTCTTAACAAGAGAATTCCTATCAATAATAAAGAAAACAAGAAGAAATCCGCATTCCCATTCCATACAAATACCAAATAAAAAAGATAATAAAGATAGGTAATCTAGAAGATTCAAGAGGCCTGTAACGATCAACACAACATAAAGACGTATGAGCGGACTTGATTTTTTGGCATTTAACCACAAAGAAGAGCTTTTGCATTTTGACTCTTTCATATCTTTAAATAATATTGAATGAGAGAGAAGTTTAAAACTTTATATTCCATATCCGTTTCAATCCGTAGTTGGGTCTTTTTTTTTGTTTGAGCTGTACGAGATGAAATTCTCATATACAGTTCTTGGAGGGGGAGGAACTTTGGTTTACCTATCTCAATAAAGTTTATGATTGGTTCGAAGAACGTCTTGAGATTCAGGCGATTGCAGATGATATAACTAGTAAATACGTTCCTCCGCATGTCAACATATTTTATTGTCTAGGAGGCATTACCCTTACTTGTTTTTTAGTACAAGTAGCTACGGGATTTGCTATGACTTTTTATTACCGTCCAACTGTTACTGAGGCTTTTGCTTCTGTTCAATATATAATGACTGAAGCTAACTTTGGTTGGTTAATCCGATCAGTTCATCGATGGTCGGCAAGTATGATGGTCCTAATGATGATCCTGCACGTATTTCGTGTATACCTCACCGGTGGTTTTAAAAAACCTCGCGAATTAACTTGGGTTACTGGTGTGGTTCTGGGTGTATTGACCGCATCTTTTGGTGTAACAGGTTATTCTTTACCTTGGGATCAAATTGGTTATTGGGCAGTCAAGATTGTAACAGGTGTACCTGACGCTATTCCGGTAATCGGATCGCCTCTTGTAGAATTATTACGCGGAAGTGCTAGTGTTGGACAATCCACTTTGACTCGTTTTTATAGTTTACACACTTTTGTATTACCTCTTCTTACGGCCGTATTTATGTTAATGCATTTTCTAATGATACGTAAGCAAGGTATTTCTGGTCCCTTATAAATAATATAGATCCTAGATATTTTTAATTACTAATTTATCTTATTACTTGGTGAAGGAATGATAGTATTTTATTGCTATAAATATGGATTATTAAAAAAATAAGACATGTATTTGGATATTTCCCTTCAACTCTACAATATTGTATTATTTTTTTAATATAAAAAGTTGAAGGGAATTCTATGAAGAGAAAATGGATTATGGGAGTGTGTGACTTGAACTATTGATCGAGCCGTGCAGAAATATGACTTTATCTGCTACATTGGAATTCACAACCAAATGTGTCTTTGTTCCAACCACTGTGTAAGCCTCATACAGGGGATAGGCTGATTCACTTGAAGAGAATCTTTTCTATGATCATACCCGACGATGTCGTGGATGAGTGGGCTCCGTAAAATCCAGTAGATTAAGGGATTGAACATAATCCTGATTATGTTTTTAGCTATTTTTTACTAAAAAAAATAAATTAATAGTATGTAAATGCATTCATTTCCTCTGCATCGACTCGATTTATGATACTATCGGAGTAAATACAGGATCTAATGAAGAGTAGAGGGTAGACTTCATTAGTAACAAGTAAATCCTTTGTATTTGAAAAATCTCGATATAATTTTTGAGATTCAGGATGAATTATTAAGGTATGAGACGATCCAGAAAGCACTTAATCATGATCAACTTTTAAGCTTACGTGGGTGTTGAGCATTTACCTGTAAGAATGGAATGTATGGCAATCTTTAGTTGCAATAAGTTTGGAATTGGATAATTTTTTTTTTACATATTAAATACTTATGGATAACATATATATTTTTTGTATATATTAATTTAGTTTTAGTTAATTCTTGCTCGAGCCGGATGATGAAAAATTATCATGTCCGGTTCCCCCGGGGGATGGATCCATAAGAATTCACCTATCCCAATAACAAAAAAAACCAGATTTGAATGATCCTGTATTACGAGCGAAATTAGCTAAAGGTATGGGTCATAATTATTACGGAGAACCCGCATGGCCCAACGATCTTTTATATATTTTTCCAGTAGTCATTCTTGGTACCATTGCTTGTAACGTAGGCTTAGCGGTTTTAGAACCATCAATGATTGGTGAACCCGCAGATCCTTTTGCAACTCCTTTGGAAATATTGCCTGAATGGTATTTTTTTCCTGTATTTCAAATACTTCGTACAGTGCCTAACAAATTATTGGGTGTTCTTTTAATGGCTTCAGTACCAGCGGGATTATTAACCGTACCCTTTTTGGAAAATGTTAATAAGTTCCAAAATCCATTTCGTCGTCCAGTAGCGACAACCGTCTTTTTGATTGGCACCGTGGTGGCCCTATGGTTTGGTATTGGAGCAAGATTACCAATTGATAAATCTCTAACTTTAGGTCTTTTTTAATTAAATTTATTCAATTGTAAAATAAAAGACATGGGTATCTAGGGAGTAGTCATTTCAAAATGAATTCTCCCTAGATACATATCTAATTAATTTAATTAATTAAAAAGGGTTTGGCTGGAAAATAGAAATTACGTTGAAGGTTTAAAATCCATTTCAATTTCAAATTTACTTTTTAGTAAAAAATTTTTTTTAGTGCTTTTTCTATTTTTTTTCTAGAATGTCTAATATCTTTTTTACATCTTCTATGTGAAAATGTTCAATTTTGATAAGATCTTCTTGACTGTTATTCAAAAGATCCAATAATGTATGTATATTGGACTTTTTGAGACAATTATAGATTATGGGAGGCAATTCTAATTGGTCAATAAAAATATATTGAAATGCTAGTTCTTTTTTTTTTCTTAGGTTAACTAATCTATTATGAAAAGGAAAAAGGGGTAAAGTAACTTGATGTTGATTGTTCTCTAAATAGAACGTTTCTTCTTCTACATGTAGAAAAGGAATAAATAAATTAATCAAATTCCGGGAGGCTTCATGAAGTGCTTCTTTAGGAGTTAAACTTCCATTTGTCCATATTTCTAGAAAAAGAATCTCTTGTTTTTCATTCCCATTCCCATAAAAATGAATACTATGATTCGCGTTTTGAACAGGCATGAATACAGCATCTATAGGATAACTTCGGTCTTCAAAGTTATTTGACATTTTTAGACTATATCCGCGATGCCTCTCGATTTGTAATTCAATACACAAATCTATTGGTTCCGTTAAGGTAGCTATATGCTGTGTATTATCAATGATTTCCACAGAGGGTGGTAAAACTATGTCTCGAGCAGTTATATATCCGGGACCTTGGACACAAATAAGCGCATTGCACGTTCCATATAGATTGCTTCTTAATACAATCTCGTTCAAATTCATTAAAATTTCATGTACTGATTCTTGAATACCTACTATGTTAGAATAGTCATGTGGTATGTTCTCAGATTTTGCACGTGTAATACATGTTCCTTCTATTTTGCCAAGTAAAGCTCTTCGCATCGCAATGCCTATTGTGTCGGCTTGACCTTTCATAAGTGGAGACAGAATAAAGCGTCCATAATAAAGACGCTTACTGTCTCTTTTTGATCCAACACACTTCCACTGTAGTGTCCGAGTAGATACTTTGACTTTCTCTCGAACCATAGTAATTTTATTTGATCAGATCATTGAATCGTTTATTTCTCTTGAAACCCTTTCAGCCTTTATTTAGTTCTATACACGTCTTTTTTTAGGGGGTCTACAACCATTATGTGGCATAGGGGTTACATCTCGTACGAAACTTAAAAGTATACTGCTTCTACGAATAGCTCGTAATGCTGCATCTTTTCCAGTCCAGGGCCCTTTATTCTTACTTCAGCTCGTTGCATACCTTGATCCACTACTGCTCGAATAGCATTTCCTGCTGCGGTTTGAGCAGCAAAAGGCGTTCCTCTTCTTGTACCTCTGAATCCACAAGTACCCGCGGAGGACCAAGAAATCACCCGACCCCGTACATCTGTAACGGTCACAATGGTATTGTTGAAACTTGCTTGAACATGAATAACTCCCTTTGGTATTCTACGTACATTTTTACGTGAACCACTACGTGTATTTTTACGTGAACCAATTCTTAATATAGGTTTTGCCATATTTTTTCATTTCACAAGAAATATATGGATATATCCATTTCATGTCAAAACAGCCTTTTTTTTTTTGCCAGCTCCTTGGAAGTACCTTTTCCTTTCCTTTATTTACTTTAGTAAGATTATCCTTGTCTTTGTTTATGCCTCGGGTTGGAACAAATTACTATAATTCGTCCCCTCCTACGGATTAGTCGACACTTTTCACAAATTTTACGAACGGAAGCCCTTATTTTCATATTTGTTATTCCTTAATTCTCTTAATATACTTATTGTTGGACAAAAAAGGTTTCTTGATATTTTTGAATCTTTAATTGTATCTTCGTGAAAGGAATGTTGAAATTGAAAAAACACCTTACCCATTTGAATCCTTGTTATGGAGTTTATAAAATAGCTGTCCCCTGATTAAGTTATACCTAAGAACTTACTAAAACCTTTACCCCTTTCCTACTACAGGTATACCTATACAAAAATATGTCGAATCCTTTCAGAAGCATGACCTAAAATCAAAAAAATCTTTAGTATCTAAACAAAATCGAAACATGTCGTTCGGAAGTGATTCAGAAATAAAACTTTCATTAATTCATTTTTTTTTCTTTAATTTTATTCGAGGTAAAACATTATAAACTTTTTTAGTAGAGGTGGGATTACACAACCCCGGTTTTTCACAAATGGTAAGTTCCGGATATCCAATTTTTATATTAGAAGGATTACCATATATAACACAAAATCTCTCTGCCGATTCTTTTTAGTCGAGCTTCTCGGTGTGTCATTATACCTTGAGAAGTCGAAAGAATTACAATTCCTATTCCGCCTAAAATTCGTGGAATTCGTTGAGAGTTAGAATAGATTCGTAGACCCGGTCGACTTATTCTCTTTAAATTTAAAATAGTTTTATAGGATTTTTTCTTATTTCGTCTATGTCTTAGGGTTAAAATCAAAAAATATTGGTTGTTTTCGAGATGTTTCCTTACGTTTTCGATAAAACCCTCTCGTAAAAGTATTTTAACAATGCTTTCGGTAATGTTAGTTGATCTTATCCAAACCGTTCCTTTTCTATTCATGTCAGCATTTCGTATAGAGGTTATTATATCACCAATAGTGTCTTTACCCATGATAAGTTAAAATTCCTTATTGTTCTCTAATTTTAATATAATTAACATGTTCTTTTTCTTTTATTTATATATCGATATAGACGAATTATATATTAATATATGAATTTAATTATTAATATATAATTATTAAGGGTATATGCGTGATACACAATCTATTAATTCATTTTATTTCAATACCTTTTTTTTAATCCTATTCTATACTAACTATCGATAGTTAGGTCTTATAATACCTCAGGAGCTAATGAAACTATTTTAGTAAAGTTTAATTGTCTCAATTCCCGTGGGATCGCCCCAAAAACTCGAGTTCCTTTTGGATTTCCTTCTTGATCAATGACAACTGCGGCATTATCATCATATCGTATTATCGTCCCATTGTTACGTTTGAGTTCTTTACAAGTACGTACAATTACAGCTCTTATCACTTCTGATCTTTCTAGAGGAGTATTTGGTATTGCTTCCTTGATTACAGCAACAATAACGTCACCAATATGAGCATAGCGGCGATTACTAGCTCCTATTATTCGAATACACATCAATTTTCGAGCCCCGCTGTTGTCTGCTACATTCAAATAGGTTTGTGGTTGAATCATATCATTTTTTTGTATCTCTTCTTTTAATGCAAAGGACGATGGAAAAAAAAATTGTTTGTCAAAAAAATAAAACTTATAATCTTTTTAATTATTTAGCTTTTTCATTATATATTCCTATTCAGAAATAATGAATTGGGTTTTTATAGGCATTTTTGATGCTGCTATTGAAATAGCTTTTCTGGCTTTATTTTCGGGTACACCACCCATTTCATAAAGGATTTTACCTGGTTTAACTACAGCTACCCAAAACTCTGGGGATCCTTTCCCAAAACCCATACGCGTTTCCGCGGGTCTTACTGTAACTGGTTTGTCTGGAAATATACGTACCCAATATTTTCCACCACGTCGTACATTTCGTGTCATTGCTCGTCGCCCTGCTTCTATTTGTCTAGATGTGATCCAAGCGGGTTCAAGTGTTTGAAGAGCATAT